ATAACTGGACAGTGACTGCACGTTTCCTTCCCAACCCCTGAGCCCTTTGTTGCAGTGACAGTTCCCACAGCGAGGGCGCTGCAGTGAGTGGTGCGGGGAAGGCCCAACATTCTTCTCTCGAGCGACAGCCACAGGAGATGTGGGATGTACACAACGAAAACCGTGCTTAAGGGGAGAGGCATCAAAGTTGGAAAGGCACGGAAAGTCGTAAGCGATTTCAGTTTGGGATACTGAGATTGTAAGAAACCTCCTGCGTGCAAAACAAACTGCACTGTAGCTGACCTTCACCCTCAAACTCATTTCCCCTCGATTCCAAAGTCCCCATCTGCATCCCTGCACATCCAGACTGGAACAAGCACAGCCAAAAGCTGGCGAGTATTTTCTTTTTGGAGTTTTACCCGCTATTAGGAAATTGTAGGGGATCGTTTTCTGACAGGGGACCTGCATTTATAAATTTAAAATTTGCATCTAATTTTTAAAATGAAGATTTAGGGGTTCCTCCCCGCGCATTCCTGCAGCAGATATATATGTGCTTTAAGAGATTTGTTTGGTGAAGAATAAAGATGGCAGTTTTCCCATAATACATGGTGGTTGTGTTCCACAGAGCACTGAGACAGAGGGAATAACGCTGCTGTAAACTCAAAACCTGGCTCCTGCTGTTTTTATTGAAAGCAATACATTAAATACTATCTATTTGGAGACCCCAGCGTGAGCCTAATTCAATCGTCCTTTTCATAAGTTAATGCTATGAAAGGCCAAAAAACCTGAAACACTAAAGTTTGCTTTGTTCCCAGGTCCTCCTGTTCTTGATGCAAACAGATCATAAGATCAATAAAAAACAACAGCTTAATGACACTTAAACTTGTGCCTAGTATTAAAACTGATTAAGAAATTTGTTTCATAGGTGATCCCAAACAATTGGCATCCACAGCAGACACTGTAAACGTTTGCATGGAAAGCCAGCTGTATGATTTGCCTCTGCCTTCATTTGCCCAGCAATTTAAGGGGAAACCCTGCATTTAGATCCCATACAACTAAAAGGAATTCCCAAGGAGATTACAAGATTTTGATCTTATTGTTTAATTCCTGTGGTTGAGAATGAAAAGGAGCATTCCCTCAATCTTTGGGTAAAGGGAAACCCAAAGGCATTTTGAAGACTATTCACACCACTCAGCTTAAAAGATGGGCTAAGGGAACTGAGAGCCTCTCTGGAGGCCCTCTACAATAGGGGGAACAAACTTGCTCCAGGGGAGGCCTTAGTTCAGCTCGGACAGACCTGCTCCTTCTCAACTGGAGAAGAACTCCAGGGAGACATGCTGGATAATTTGTCTGCTGAAATTTAGCACGAGAATTGGTGTTGTGTGAATGAACTTTCATTTCCCCTCTACCATTTGCCTCAGCTGCTCTTGGGCATTAATTACATTTTCCTTGGGCTTTTTTAACTGCAAGCATTATTATTTTATGTGTTGTGGAACAGATGTTCTATTATGTCAGTGATATTGGCTTTGCTTTTCCTCTTTACTGCCACCCTGTTCTTGTCTCCTCCAACCAATCTCTGACTCCTGATTTTACGCATGGAATATTTCCCTGCAGAAATGATTTCAAAGAGAATTGTAAAAGCCAGACAATTATCCAGTGATTTGACTGGAGCAGTTTTCCACACAGTCGATTACTTATGATTTTGAATTCCTCTGAACGCATGTGCTGTGCACAGATCTCTAATCCAAGGGGTGAACCTTTAGTAGTATTGTGATACCGGTTGTGAAGGATCCCAGTGGGTGTCCGACAATGGGTGTCCAACCCTCTCCCGGTTCTTTCACCAGAGTGCATCCAGGTTGCTGTTCTGGAGCACAGCAGGCACATCCCAATCACCTGCAAGGACTGCACTGTGCCACTGAAGCCGAGTTCAGCCTCCAGGATAGGCTTGTTCAAGAGGCAGTGGAATTTAACCATCATGCATTTCCATAGCACTCAATGTCACACAGAACGTGGGTACTTGTCTCAGCACCTTCTGAGGTACGTAAAACATTCTTTAAAGACACAGGAATATATACATAACAGGAGGGTCAGGTTGGATCTCAGGAAAGGGTCCTTACCCCAGAGGGTGGTTGGTGCTGAACAGGCTCCCCAGGGCAGTGGGCACAGCACCAAGGCTGCCAGAGCTCAAGGAGGGTTTGGACAACACCCTCAGGGACAGAGTGGGAGTGTTGGGGCTGGGCAGGGCCAGGAGATGGACTTGGATGATCCTTCTGGGTCTCTTTCAGCTCAGGATATTCTGTGATGCTATAATTCTATGATATTTAAAAGAATTAGCATACCCAGAGAGGAAAAAATGCACTCCTCAAATTGCATACTGTATCCTAGAAAAAAAGCCTCAAATGCACACACATCATATATGTATTTCCATGCACATGTACAAATATATGTAAACACAAAGCATTACATAAATGTATGTGTGTGCATATCTGAAAAATACTCTACTGCAGATATTAAGAGGAATTTCTGTAAACTCCTTCCTCAATCTTCCCTTTTCAAGGCAAGTGGATTTTGTGCCTTTCTTTCTGCATTTTCTTCCAGATATCTGTGTCATCAGTACCACAATAACACATCATAAGACTTCCTTCTTTTATTTGTAGTGGGTTTTTTATTCTTTGTTGGTCTCAAAAAAAAGCCAGAAGTAGCAGGGGTGTTGGGTCTAGATGATCTTTAATGACCCTTCCAACCCAAACCATTCTGTGATTCTAAGATTTTGCAGTTGCAGAAAGAGGGGATGTGTGAAACCTCTGTCCCCTTCACCTAGGAACAGAGGGCAGCCTATTTTAGTTCTAAATCCCTTGCCAAAGGCCGAGCAGGAGCCCACAGTAAGGGCAGCAGCTCAGATGTCCTGGTTTTGGTCGGGTACCCGGTGCGGTTCCTGCAGCACACGGAGCGACAGCTGTGATGGATACACGTTTATTGGCAAGCGCCTCACAGCCCTGCTTCCTTATCTTCCTCTTTAAGAGATAAGCTACTTAATATTTGCCCCTGGCTGATACCAACAAATGTGTCATGATATGACTGGCTGTGCACCCGTGGTAACCTTTTGAGCAGACGCAGGCGCTTCCAGCCAGAGAACCATCAGCGGAATGCCCTGCGAGTACCTTTACAGTAATGACTCACAGAAATGCTTTCTGTTCTCAAGAGGCCACGAGCAATGCAGCAGGACAGGTTTGTCCACCCACTGCATTTTGTTCCAGCAGTTCTGGCACAGAGCTGAATCTGGGATCAAATAGTCTTAGGAAGCCAACATGCCAAGCTTGAAGAGTAGGCTAATGTAAATATATAATGGCGTGGGAAAAAGGCTTTTGTTTGTTAATAAGAGGTGATACAGAATATCTGTTGTTCAGGACAAGCAACCGCAGAGTTGTTGGATTGCATTCAACAGTGCCCACTTGTCTTTTTTTCAGGGCAGGAGTTGCTTTCCTCTGTGCGTGTGTGCACACGCACTTGGCAAGGATTTCACTGAGGCAGTGCCTTAACAAACTCTTCGTTCCATGAAAAAAAAAAGGGGGGGAAAGAGGTATTTTGTGGGAATCTAAGCAAGAAGTACCTGGAGATGGGTCGCAGCAGCATGGTAAGAAAATATGTGCTTTGGAAATTTCAGCTGACTACCTAATCCAAACCACTCCTGGAGGAAGGGGGAGGAATGAGGAAGTCAGTTTGCGGTTACCACTTCTCTGGCTGTGATCTCCAGTACATAATTATTACAAAGCTACAGTTCAGCCAGCTTTTGACAAATGAACTACCAAGAGGTTTCTCTGCATGTTTTCTATTCAAGTGTGTTTAGTCATAAATACTTGGTTCTAATGGTATTTTCTTAGTCAAACAGAGCCACTCCTAAGCATTAATATTCTTGGTATAAGACTGTTCTTTTTTTCTGGTTGAAGGTCTTTTTACAGAAGTTGAACATTCTGGACTTTTTTCAGCCACACTAATTTCAGGTAATTACACCCCTAGCACTCTACATCTCCAAACCCTTTGCAACAGTTCATATACTCTGTGCTGGGAGGTTTCCATGAAAGAGAAATAATCCCTGTGATATCCAGTGAAGTTATCAAATTACTTTTATAAAGGGAAAAAAATTGTAGCAGGACACTGACATCAGGTCAGACCACCACATTTCCTTGTTCCCAAGGACCTTATTCAAATTCAGCTTCTGTAGTCTTCAGGATAATAAAACAGAAACTCCTGAGTTTATAATGCTCCCCTTAACTTGTCCAGAGGTATCCCCATTTTAGAGGGATATAAATCTCTCTCTCTCTCTATTTATATATATAAATATCAATTTTATTTACTTATATCTGTAAGTATCAAAGACCTAGAGGAGGAAGCAATGAGCCATGAACAGTCCCTGATGGTCCTGCTGTATGCTTTGGCTGTATTTGATAACTTAATATTAAAATAATAATGTAAGTGTGAAAGAGGTCTATTTTTAATCAGTGCATATTTTTCAAATCTTATTACTTTTGAAGGCAGAGGTAGCACTCTTTTTCATTTTTTGCACTTTTACAAGCAGATAATAAGAGGTACTACAGCCCTTTGGAGGCTTAATTTCCTCAAGTGGAAATTAAGATTTACTAAATCAAATACCCTCTACTAGTATTTGAACCATTTGTTTGGTTTTTGATTCTGGGTGAGCAAGTCATGGCTACATAAAACACGACTAGTGAAAGTACCAGCATTGTCAATTTTTGTTTTCAGGTATTCCTGAAACTCCCTCCCCATCCCTAACTACCCACCATCAAAGAGAATAAACAGAAATCAAATTTTTCAAACTCCAGCCAAATGGATGCTTTCTCGAGGGCCTGCATTTGCTTTTGCTTTAAAAACAGCCCCCTCAGTTTTGTTTAAAGCCTTTTTGCATTCCAGAGGTGCCTCTTTTCCCTAGATGGGTTCACTTGAGCTTCTTTCTCCACTTCAGCTTTTCAGTGAGCTCCACTCCCTCCCAGTGTGGTTGGTACCTGTTTTGTTGTCTCTCCTCAGGCTGAGACAGATCCAAAAGCCCTTGTAGAGGGAGTTGGCCACAGTCCCGAGCTCCTTTCTGCTGGCACTTCAGAGCAGGGAAGTGTTTGCCTGCTCCCATCATCTCCAGCTGAACGAGGAGGGAGCTGAGCTTCCCCTTCCACTGGGTGACTGCAAGGGAAGAACATCAGCTTTGAGAGCAATAAATCAGACCAAGCCCTGCTCAGCTCCCACTCTACACCCAGCAAAGCCAGACTAGAGGATGCTGGCACCTAAATGAGAGACTCCTCTAAGTCTGGTTTCAAAGGTGATTAAATCCCTCTGGGTTCTGAACATATCCTCAATTACCCATTTCTGTTTGGAAAATTTTGAGACATCTTTTGTTCAAAAGCTTGGAGTTTAGCGTAATTCCCATGTTTTACTTCCCCTCAGTAACTCAGCTATGGAAAAAAGATGTCTGCAGGGAATTCTCAGGATTAGTCTCAAAACGATAATGTAGCTCACACAGTCAACAGAAGCACAAGGAAGGAAAAAAATTGATAAAAACAGGTCCACAAAAATGAAAAAAAATGGAAACTACTGAAAAGACAGAGTCTGTGTAGAACAGAAATGTTGGCACAGATCCTACTCAGTATGGAACTGCAGCACTTAAGGGGCTGGCAAGGCTACACACTTTTATGTGTCCTGTAACACAGTCACACACTGGTGTCGGTTGGAAAAAACTCTCAAACTTTGCAAAAAAAAAAATTTCTTTGGTAAGAAAAGAGAGGTTAATCAGGGCAAAAATAAGGCAGAGTTGTGAGGCATTTCTCAAATTCGTCATAAAAACAGATTAGCAAGTGAGAAAACTTCTGAGAGTAGGCTTCCTTGTATTATTTCAATTATATATTACAAATATATATAACATATACATTTAATATATAGTATACAACTAATTATAATTATATAAATCAATTGACATATAAATTATTAACACACTAACACAAATTAATATCAATTAATAACTATTAAATTATGTACTTTAATAATATATAATGACATCTGATATTACCATATAATTATATATTATATATCTTATTACTATATAATTATGACATTGTATATTTATATGATATATATGATATGACATATTAATATGCTAGTATATATTCTATATTATTAATTATTATTAATATGCTACTATACATTCTATATTATTAATTATTATTAATTATCTGATTTCATATATTATAAATATTATTAGTTATATATTTTGATATATTTAATCTAAAAGCTTGAAAAAGAAGAGGAACAAGATACGGAAAGATTTCACAATTATCAAACTGAAATTAGTTGGCTAGTCCAAACCAGACCCTATCTTAAATCCAGGGAACTATAAATTTTTGTTCTTTCTTGGCAGGAGAACATTTCCCAGGACTCTGTGTGTGTGGGAATCAAGGAGCACACACCAGGTGTAGCAAGGCACAGACTTAGAAGGTTTTTTAACATCAATGCAGACATTTGTGAGACACAGGAATACTCATTCCAACAGCCATAGCACACGGAATTTATGGGGTTATTTTCAGTCATCTACAGCATATCCAAGTGGAAAGGGTTTGGCTTCTCTGCACCATGGGCTGGTGATATTTCTGCACCCTCTGGGGTAGAAGAGGGCTGAAGGCAAGACTTGATTTTGAGAGCTCCAGACAAACTGCTGGAAAACTTGGTGTGGTCACTGCTGCTTCTCATGGCACCAGCTCAGGACACTCGATTGCCAGTGATGGAGGAGTTATTGAGGAGCCTGAGGAATGGGAGGCACCAAGATACCAAGCACAGAGGTTCCCCAGGGACACTGCAGCCCTGTCACAATGCCAGCAGGCCTTTACTGAATCCCACATTATTTTGCCTTATTATTTGGATCATATTTGGTTTCTCGGTGCTTCCCCAAAAGCCAGCACCAAGTGTCTTTCTTTTCAAGACCAGAAACAAACCAGTGCAAAATACACGTGCTGCCATGAGAGCACGTTGTTACACACCCTCAGCACAGGCTGAGGACTCACTCCGAGGTGGATGAGGCAAACCAACAAACAACCAGCCCCAGGCAGATGACAAAGCAAATATTCCATTCCTGTCATTGTGGCTGTGCACGTGTCAGGAAACGGCAGGCACGGGGGACACGGTGCTCTCAGGGATTGCAGCCCTCGGGAGCTGCCCTGTGTCCGGCAAACTGCCACAGCCGAGGATGTGCAGAGGCACAAGCCCAGGCTGAGCACACCTCAGACCATGTTTGCACACTCAGGGCAGGGATAAAGGCAAAATTTTCCAAACTATTCGAATGTAAATAGAGGGGCGCCCAGAGCCAAGCAGCAGGGCAGTTCTGCCGGGCCGGCTGCCAGGGGACCAGTGTAATGCAGTGTATTTCATTTACCCCAGACAATGGGGCAATGGCCCGCTCGGCTGGTCCAGCGCCGTGCCCAGCACTGTCTACGTGTCTGCCCACAGGTGCCGTGCCCGCCAGCCCTCGCCCTGTGCTCACAGGCGTTTCTTCCTGCCCTTTGCCTCCCTATCCCAGCCCGCTGCTGAAGCCTGTCCCGGATCCCCAGCCCAGCAGGTAAAAGCAGAGTGTGCTGAATTGTAACCTAAATGTTTTTTACCTTCTGGGACAAAATCTCAGTGCAGTAATGATGATGGGTAGCAAAAACATTTGCTAATTCTGTGAGGTTTTCTTTCCAGTATTTCTTTTCCATTATTAAGTGTACACATTACAATAAGGAAATAGATTCAGGTCATGCAGTTTTTCCTTTGGACATAAACACAGAAAAAAAATAATAACCATATGGTTCACTACACTACTCCCAAAACTTTCAGCTTTTTGTTTGCTATTCTATTGCTGTGAAATACCTAGAAGTGCATCCTGGATATTAGCATACAAAGAGTGTGCATAATTCAGTATAAACGGGGTTGTTTATAAACATCAAACATTATTTATAGTGCTCACACACACACACACACATCACCATGGAAACACAGTAATTGCTATACCATTAGGACACAATTTCTCTGTGCAGTGAGGGAGAAGGGCAATTTATCTACATCTGGGTGGTTTCACATTGCTGCTTGTGGCCACTGATCTCCCCTCTAAAGCATCTTTTGGATGTGGAATTAGTTTTGATTACTGAAGAGAAGATTAGATCAATATAAGAGTGAGATGACTTGAAAGAGAAGAGCACATGTGAAAACACTGCAATTACTGCACGGGAGTGATGTGAACTGTTCAGTGGTGGGGATTCAAAGACCAACTGAGGAATTTCCAGCCCAGCCAAAGGTCACTGTGGCCAGTGTTTCCCACTGCCGATGGTCACCATGTGCTGCTCGGCAGCCTGGATGAACAGTATTGATTGCAGATTCGAAAGGTAAAAAATTAGCAGGAAGAGACATCCTTGTTCATAGTTCTGCCAGTAAGGTCAAGGATTGAACAGGGCAGAGAAATGCTTTTCCCCTTTAAAGAGAACAGAGTATGCAGAGTGCCATTTAAAGGTACAGAAGAGCATAAGGGCAGAGTTTATAAAGGATGGCTGCATTTGCATATAGAGAGACACCAACTGGGGTTTTTGTTAATACGAGTAAGAATACAAGGCATTAAGATCATTGCTTTCTGTCTGGCACTTGAAATGGAGGCTGTGATACAAAGAAACATATTCTCGGATCTAACAGTGTTAATGGCGAGATTATCCCACCTTGGCAATAACAGCTTCCTGCTTGGTCATATCTGCCTGACAAAGGCCCTTTAAGAGAGTTAACAGAATGAGGATGGTAATTCATCACAGCATCCTCATACCAGACTGTATTAAACCATGGCTTGAACTGATCATATGTTTGAACATGAGAAAATATAATAAAATTCTCAGCTGTAATTATCATTCCTTCCAACCAAGATGTGTAAGGGTGAGCAAAGAGGATCTTGGTGCTTTTGATGCAAGGTTCACACTGAGGCTAATTTTGCAATATCACTGCAGGCAAAACTCCTAGGGATGCTAAGCTGGAATCACAACGTTTTTCCAAAAAGACTGCATATAGAAAGTCTCATTACTGCATGAATTGAGCTTATTCCCCAGCTGGATTTCTCGTGAAGTGTCCAGCATTTTGTCCCATCAAAAAGTGCTCCTGAATTCAGAACGGAAGATTCCTTTGTGCAATCTGTCCTAATAACATGAAACCAGAACGGCTTCTCTATTTCTGACAGAGGTTTTCCTCTCAGGAGGGAAAAAAAAAGTCTTTCCCCCCCTTGCAGATGTAAATTCTACAAAGTACTTCGGGAGCCTTTAGGATATAAAACCTGCTTGAGTAAACACAGGGTATAATTATCATCATCTGTCTTCTCTGTGAATCCATACATTTTATATTCCATTTAAAACAGAAAAAAGAAATCCTCAACAGGATGTCTTCCAGAGCACCAATTTAGCTAATGAGAGTGAATATCAATGACTGCTGGCTAATCAGAATGGTATTAGCATAAATTTTACTTGATGAGGACATATTTGCTGGGTGCCAGGAGCAAAACGGTACTGAGCTAGATTGTAAAATGCCGTGGATGGGTAAGTCTCATCTGGAAAGAAAACCAGTAGATCTAACAAACAACTGCATCTGAGGTTCCTGTTAAGCTAGAACTTTTGGCAACCCGTGATTTTAACCACTCGGGGCTTTTCAAACTTTTTCATTATAACAGAATGTTATCAGCTCTAACTGTGATGAATTAAACACCCTGGGGAACAGCTTGACAAGAGATTCAATTGAACTCTTTTAACCTCGTGTGGGTAGGTAGATCACTGAAGGAACTGGCTTTCTCTTTCATTTAAGTCATGCAATAGATGCACTCTGCTGCCCAACAAAAGTGTATTTTCCCTCTGTGCATTGTGTAAGGCTCTCCTGAACAATCCCTACTGCTGCTCTCCGCCTCAGAAGCAGCAATGTTACATTGCCCTCTGTCTGCCTGCCAGGAATCTCAGGCGGGAAATTCCCTGGGGCCACTCTTGTCCCGAAGGAGTTAAGTGCCAGCAGCATCCCAGTGCAGTTCTGCTCACTGCATTTCTTCCCCTTTATATAGAATCCCTATTTGACAGCCTGAGAAGTCTCCATGAACAATATGAAAGATTTTTGTCTACAGTAACATAAAGGGGTTAGAGTTCAATACT